AGAAATCCTAGATTCTATTTTGCCTTTAATCAAATTAAAATAACAAATTTAATCGACATAACATTAGAAGAAAGTTAGAAAGCAAGCATTAGGGAGTAACGTCAAGGACGATGTTCTAAAATGGTGTGGACTCCTCATTCGTACCCGTACTTTCGGTACTGTATGGTTCAAAGATAAAATCCTTATAATCGGCTTCTATGTGCATGACAACATGAAGATAAAGCACGAGCCTGGTTTCAAGTTGCCAAAATAATGTAAGGTATAAGGAGTATTTTCAAATTATTTTTTCAGACTTTCGATAAATATTAGTTGGAAAGATGATAATTAATGAAAATACCTCCAACTAATTGTTAAGCCATTACTATTGAGGATGAAATGCTTCCATTTTTGTGTACGAAACGACATTTTACAATCGGTAACATCGATATGCATCGTGTTAACACGAAGTTTCCCATTATAATTGGTTCGATGTTCAAGAGCCTAATATTTTCATCTAAGCATTTTTAACAATACAATATAGGGAAATTTTCGTATCAAGGAGATTAAGTAAAACTTCAAAAATCAAATATTAATTAAATTTTATTTATGAAATAACTAATTAAATAGATTTTATTAATAATATATATTAATGTTACAATTCTATACAATTTGGTCACTTATTATCAAACTAATTGGTCACAAATTATTGTTGGTTACAAATAAAAAATTTTACACGTCACAAATTAAAAATTTTACGGGTCATAATTTATTTATAGATTACATATCAAAAAAATTATATATCACAATTTATTTATCGGTGACAAATCACAAATTTATAAGTCAAAACTTATTTCACGATTATAAATTATCAAATTAATTGGTCACAAATTATTTATCGATCACAACATAATAAATTATGAGTCACAATCACAATTTTTAGATTACGTATTATTTATTGATCACAAGTTATTTATTTCATGAGTTACATATTATTTATTATTGATCACAAACTAACCAAATAGATGGTCATGTGCACAAAAATAGCTAGTCAAAACAATCCCCGTCCCACCGCTAATCCCACTACTGACACCAATGCTTGGTCACAAATTAACCAACTAAATGGCCACAACACTCTTCATCCCATTCACACACCAACCCCAATAGTTGGTCACAAATGGTTTCATCCCATACTGCCACCGTCACCACAAAAGCACGCATCTGGAAGATTAAAAACTAGAATAGTCTTTGTTGCACATTTACACGAGTTGCATATTTTTCCAAGTAAACGCCAGTAATGATTTAACAACAAGGCCAAACAAAACGTACCCTAAGTATTAGGAAAGTTATTTTGTAATTTCTCCATAGACGGCAAATGTAACAGATCCATTATCTGAGAAAGAAAATGCAAATCTCTTGTTGATTGTTTAAGAGGCTTGAATTCCCTCGAATGAGTCTATTATCTTTTTGTTCTTCTTTACTTCTTTGAACTATAAATAAAGTGTGTTTGTAACATGACTATTTGATAGTATTTGAACATAAAAATTGAAAGTCGATTAATTTAATTATCGCAAAGCAAAGCGAGGGAATTTTCTAATGCGTTAACTTTAATTAGAGTAGCAAGAACATTAAGAGGATATCTCCCAACAGTATATCAATTACATAATTTTTGGCTACTAATCTCACCAAAAGGGAATGTGGAGCTTATGCTTCTAATTCAATTAGACTTAGTAGCTTTAGAATTATGCTTAATAATATTCCTTTTTTTATGTTTTCAGTTGGTCATTTGTTTCTGGCACGAGTTTTGGCAAAATGTAAGCCTCGAGTCATCGAAGACGAAGACATTAAATTCCTGCCAAACTTTTAATTTGTCAAATAGCTCAAGTTTCCAGTCCTAGAGGGTAACACCCATATGTATCTTGCCTACATGGAAGACCAAGACATGTAAGAACTTTGCGGAATAAAATAGGCTATTTTATTGTCTCATAATATGTTAAATAAGTTCAATCCATTAATGAAAAATAAATTCATCGATTTTGAAAATAAAATCTAGCAAATAATTTTAAACTAAATGTTAAATACTGAAAGAAAAAAATTCTTGATGGACTGTGTGAGCAGATACAACCTCCAACTTCGATCAATCAAACATCTGAAAAAAATATTTTAAATATGGAATGAGCATACGATACACTCAATATAGATTTCATGCTGGTATTTTCGCGATTTAATATAAAAAGCAAGTAGAATACGCACATAACATAATTTTCTAGTGGGGTGATAACCCGGCTGTCTCCTTATCGCTTAGATCATACCCATTCTCAATCTCCACTTAGGGTTTCTAGCCCTGTGGCTGGTTTTCGTATAGATCTACATAATAATACCCTATGGTATTACCCACAAGATCCCTCTTAAATTTGGATAACATAATTGCACATAAATTACTTAACTTAAAACATTAAAAAGTGAAAACACAAAACTACTGGGCACATATAGAAACCCACAACTATTCGTTAAACTTCCTGAGCTAATTAGGACTGAAAATTCTTGCGAACGGATTTCGAACGCGCCGGAAAAGATTGACAAAATTAGTGATTGGGTGTGCATTGTTTCAGAATTAAAATAATAACCAGCTGATGAACATTGGGGAGATATGGATTCTTCGAATAAGCCTATCATCTTTATTTACTTGTTTATTTTTATC